TGCAAGATCCCCAATTCGAAAGCGGATTAACATAGGAGCCTAAACAATTACCAATACTATTTTGGTGGTTCCTTACTATAATTCTGGTATAATCTACCCCAAAACCCTAGTCTAATTATTAAGGCCCCTACAGTAAGCCCGACGATCTGAACGCCATTGAACCCCAAGGCCTTATCGCCGCCTGACACTTCAGGTCTTTCGTCAGCGATGCCGACGATTACATCTACTTCATGCAGTTGAACCGGAGCAGCGATTTAGGGTGTAGGGCTTGTGCGGCTTCAGGTTTGGTAAGCATCAAACCCGTCTACAAGCCCTTTTCGGAAGCCTTATGGGAACCTGCAAAGAAGCCCTTATAGAAATCCGTATAGGAGCCTGCAAGAAACTTGACTCTGGCTGCAGGAAAGAGGCGAACCGTAGCACACGGAGAGCAGCCCGAACAGTTGCCGAAACCGAACAACCTTAAACGCCAAACCCGAACCCCCAGTCATACCGAACACAAGAGACGCACTGAGCGACAAGGATGACAACGGCAAGAAGAGGAAGCATAGCAGAAATAGTGCTAAATACTGGTGAGGAAGATAGTAATGATGTTGTTGGGAGACATTGACGAAAGGAGTACTCGGTGTTGCTTCTCGGCAGAGCTGTGTAAACCATTAAGCCCCAACGCCTGAAATGGAGGCAAAAGGCCTCGAGATAGCTCGATGCTACGTTTTGTCCTCCCAGCTTTTTCCTGAAGCTGCTGATGCAGTTCCTGCCGGTGCTGCTGTCACAACAGATTCATCTGACTATCGTTAGCTCGCAGGCGCTCTGCAAACCGGATGCACTTGCAAGTCCTCGCCCCTGAAGCCCACTTCAGGTGTGAAAGCCCAAGACTTAGCCAAGAGCGCAGCCAAGGAATCCTCATGGCCTGGTGGACGCTGCTCAGTAGTATTTACCTTCGTTTTTCATATTGAGTGTTTGATTTTCATTGGTAGGCATGAGCCTTCTTCCTCTTTAAAGGGTTTCCCTGAGTCTCGTGGTGTGTTGGTGTTTGCGGACGTCGAGGTTGCATTTCGGGCTGAACGAGGGTTTGGTTGATGTTGATGTCGCGAAATGCCAGGCACTCTAATGCGAGCTTCCCAGTGCTGCAACCGTGCTTTCTGGGATGCAAGATAATGCATTGCTTGGCCCTTAACCCAGCCCTAACCCCCAACCCCCTAAACCCTAAACCCTAAACCCCTAAACCCTAAACCGGATAATTGAGGCCCGATAAAGCCCTCCTTATAAAGCCTTACAGAAGCCTTAAGCTCATCAAAGCCTTAGAAGTCCCAATTCCACGTTGAAGGCCACCCTCTTACTGAACCCTAAACCCTAAACCCTAAACCCTAAGCCCTAAGCCCTAAACCCTAAAGCCTAAATAAACCCTTATAAAGCCTAAACCCTACTAAACCCTGGATTAGGGAGTTCCGGCTTTCCCCAACACCTCACGGACTCGACACTCGTCTGCTACCTGGCGGTCCAGTCTTTTTGGGGTCTGTTTTATGTGGGGGCCTACTTAAAGAATCATGGGACTTAGTAAGTAGGGTTATAGTTAGGGTAACTATACTTATAACCCCAATTAAGGGACTTGTAACCTTGCTTATTATGTCCCATGATCCTCCAAGGAGGGGCTTTAGCAATTCGA